CTCTCTCTCTCTCTCTCTCTCTCTCTCTCTCTAGCCAAACACTGCATATGTCCACATGACCAAGCCTCTCTTTCTCTCTCTTCCTCTCACCCCCACTCACAACACCTTAAGGAACCTGGTTTCCAATGGCTCCTACACAGAGGCCCTCTCTCTCTACAACCACACCAAGGACTCTCTCCCCCCTTGTACTCTCACCCACATATTCCCATTTCTCCTCAAAGCCTGCAGCCAGCTCTCCTCTCTCTCTCTAGGCCAAACCCTGCATGCCCACATTGCCAAAATTGGCTTTCTCTCTCATCCCCACACTCATACTGCACTCACTGATATGTACATGAGATTAAACAACACAGATGATGCAGTCCATTTGCTTGATGAAATTGAAGAAAGAAATCTTCCCTCTTTCAATGCTGCAATTTCCGGGTTTTCTCGCAATGGCCTGTTAGAACATTCGATTGCCATTTTTCGACAAGCTTTAATCGAAGGGATCAGACCCAATTCAGTTAGTGTAGCTGGTCTTTTACCTGCTTGTTCTAAGCTTCATGGAAAGCTTATTCATGGCTTCTCTCTAAAATCTGGCTTGAATTATGACATTTTTGTATCTACTGCTACTCTAACAATGTATGCTACAAACAGTGATTTGGGCTCGGCGGAAAAAGTGTTTGGATTGATTCTAGAGAGAGAAAGGAATGTCGTTTGTTACAATGCAATGATAGCCACGTACCTGCAAAATGGGGATTTTGATAGAGTGATCAAATTGTTTCGAGAGATGCGAGAGAAACCCAATTCAGTGACATTCATGACTGTTCTATCGGCCTGTGCAGGAGCGTTGGCTCTGCAATATGGGAGAGAAATTCATTCTCTCTCTCTAAAATTTGAAGGTGGTAACAGTGTCCTAACTGGGACAGCACTCATAGACATGTATTCTAAATGTGGGTTCATAAACCAGGCTCAAGCAGTGTTCAATACAATGAGTGAGAGAAACACAGTCACATGGAATTCACTGATATCAGGGCTAATACTCAATGGCCATCATGAAGAAGCAATGGACACTTTCTCTCTCATGAAAACACAAGGAATAAGGCTGGACTCGTCGACTTGGCTCGTTCTCATCGGCGGGTTCTCTCGACAAAAGCTAGGCCAAGAGGCCCTGGACCTCTTTAGAGAGATGCTAGCGAAAGGAGTGAAACCATGCTTAAAATCAATCACAAGCCTCTTACAAGCATGTTCTTCTCTCTCAAACCTTAGCCATGGCAGAGAGATCCATGGCTATACAGTGAGGTCTGGTTTAGACTCAGATCACTTCCTCTTAACTGCCCTTGTTGATATGTACTCCAAATGCGGGTCCATGGACCGGGCGCAACGGGCCTTCAATGAGGCCCAATGGGCCCACGATCCAGCCCCTTACAATGCTATGATTGGTGGTTATGGCAAGAATGGACAATTAGATATGGCCCTAAACATCTATAATCAGATGATAGAGGATGATATAAAACCAAATTCAGCTACAATAACCAGTGTTCTTTCAGTGTTTAACCATGCGGGTGTGGTGGATCAAGGGTGGAGATTCTTCGAGGAGGTGAGGAGAGAGTACCATGAGGATCTGACCATCGATCACTATGCTTGCATGGCTGATCTTCTTGGACGAGCAGGCAGGCTCGTGGAGGCTCGAGAGCTCATAAGAGGCATGCCTATGAAGCCTTTGAACTCCATGTTTGCTTCTCTTCTTGGGGCATGCAGTCTTCATTGTAATGTTGAAATAGGAGAAGAAATGGCTGATATTTTGTTCGAATTGGAGCCTGAGAACCCCGCGCCGGTTGTTGTTTTGTCAAATATATATGCGAATTTGGGGAGGTGGGGGAGTGCAGAGAATGCGAGGGAGATGATGAGAGAGAGAGGACTTAAGAAAGTCCCTGGTCGCAGTTGGATAGGTTTGAATTGTTAATATTTTTTTTTTTTGGGTAAGTAAAATTGTTAATACTTCATCACAGTTTTTTTGTAGCTTGGTTGGATAAAAGTTTTCCTTTATTTATTTCTCCGATAAAGTTTTTTGCTTTTATTTTTCTCTAGCATTTTAATTATCATCGTCAAAACCTTTTTTTCTCTCTAATTTGTAGCATTTTAATAATCATCATCGTCGAAGCTTTTTTCCAACTACTTAAATTCAACTACATGAATTTTGATACACCATTTTGTTCTATTTATGGCCATACCTTCAATGAAATCATAAACTTCCATATCTTTTCTCACTACTTCCAACTGACTTTTTGAACCTACCCTGTATCTTTTTTTAGCTTTTCACTTTGACAAACTTGTACCTCCTAACAGGAAGATACATGACCAGCCTACTCTCTCTCATCTTATCACCTATTGAGGCTACGCCTAATTTTCTCAAACGTATACTCATAGCATTTTAATCTATGAGGCAATTGGGCAGTGTTTTGAACACTTCTTGAAAGTGGAAGAATTAGGTTGATTTTCCTCTCTTGAAGTGATAACAAGATAACCCAACTCCATAAAATAGAGACATTACCGGAAAGAGAACAAAATGCCATGGTTTATCATAATTTCATCAGGAATTCACAGCAAAACTTAATAGAACAGAGTTTATACATATAACAAACAACATATCGCATTGGGGTAAGAATTCCTTCCAAATTGTGGAAGCATTCCTTAGCCACCCAAAACTCAATAAAAAAGGAATAGTGCATACATATAGAAGTTGAAATTGAATTATCTTCTACTCAAAACTCTGCATCTTAGTAATCTAGCCACCAGTTCTTTCCTGTAGACATTTATTTGATCTTGTTTCACTGGTTCAACATTTCCTTAACTGCAAAGCCGAAGTAGTCATCAAAGTGGTTCGGAGGCTCGAAGATAAAGCATGAGATCACATCTCTGAGAGTGACCACCCCAACTACGTCATAGTAATCATTGACAACATAGACCCTATCAAAAGACATGGCTGCCAAGGTTTCTATCACTTGCCCAAGACTTGTGTTGGCCTTACATGTAACCGGGGGTATCATCACTGTCTTATGAGATCCATCGAGGGTCGTTGCAATGGAAACTATGGTGTTCATGAAGTCCATCACTGTCAATTGCCTGCAAAATTCCACAAAAACAACATGTCGCTAAAATTCCTTCTTTTTCTTTGAATTGTTATTGCATTCCAGTCAAAGTCATACCCTTTTTTGGGGTAGGCAATGTGGGTGGGGGCTCCTAACCTCAGATTGTACCAAGTTTTAGCTGAGCTATTTTTAAAAAAACTAGTTTTCATATTGAGACATGGGCTCACAAAAGCAAAGAATCCAGGATAAAAATATGTTGCCATATAACAAGTTTTCATCTTGAGAAGGTGCTCGCTTCCATGCTAAAGCATAGAAGCCGCCTGTTCCATGAATTGTGGAAGAGAGGACTCCGGTAGCCCCTTCTTCCACATGTCAAACCCGCTCTTAGTGATAAGCATGTTGGCTAGTTGCACCTAAGATTGGGTTGCCATACCTGAAATCGTAGAATAGCCCATGATTCAACAGCAAGAATCTCACATCTCTTATGCTTATGTTCCCAATGATCTTTTTGCTAGAACCTTCTATAACAGGGACGCCACCAATGCGATTCTCCTTCATATGCTTGAAAGCTGCTAGAACAAGCTCATCCTTCTTGATGCAGATCACCTATAAAATTTAGTGTGCAACTCAGTGCTAAAAATTTGCAAAATAGAAATCCTTTCTACAGGGAAAGATAGAGCTTGTAGAACCATGCTATTATAGGGGTGGCAACATGTCAGGTCTGCCGGCAGACCTGACTGGACCCGAAGTTATTGGACCTGGACCCGGACCTAGACCCGAGCGGACTTGACTGGACCCAGACTTGGATCTGGCCGGACAGGATTGGACCTGAACCAAAAAATATATAATAATAATATATATATTTATATATATAAATATTATGCTAATTATTTAAACATTATAACTAAAAATATATAGTTATATCCATTTAAAAATTAATTAAATATTTTAAAAATATTATATATTAAATATTATTTTCATAATAACACTATTCGGCTTAGGTCCAGGTGGACCCAGACCCGAATAGTGCTCAGGTCCAATATTTGGACCCGGACCTGACCCGCTAGATCCAAGTTTTGGAACCGGACCCAGGTCGGGTTCGGGTCCATTGCTACCCCTACATGCTAAAATAGCTAAAAGATCATTATATCTTGACAGCAAACTATAGCTTGACAGCAAACTATGTAAACCTTCCTAGTAACATATATTCTAGTTAGCCTAGTTCAAGTTAGCTACTTCAAATTTTATAGAACAGTTATTTAGACAGGGTTCAATTTTCTAAACTGAGTGAAATGGATCAGAAGATCCATTGTGAATTTGAATATTTAGTGAAGGCAAACTTGGTCTAAAATCAAACTGCCAGTGAAGCATTATATTTTTTGGATAATCACTATGTACGAATGTTTGAAGATCAGATGAGATTTATAAAATGCATGAGCTATTATTTATCTCAATATATGAGCACCAAGAACATATATTTTAATGAGGGATACTATCTAGCACCTCATTTTCAGACATAAAAGGAAGTCCCATATCTGAAATAGGCTTGACTGCAATGCAATCGAACCAATCTCTTCCTTTACATCCCCGTAGACCATGTATCACTGCTGATTGAGTTATAAAGTTCTTAATGAAAGGATTTCCTGTCTCAATTACGGGAACATTTCTCAATCTGTACTTTGAAAGCAATAATAACACTGTCAACATGGAACTATCCATAGCAACAGGAAGGAAGGGAGCCCATCTGAATGACTTGATAATGGATTTCACCTGAAATAGTAAGAGGAGTAAATGAATAGCCAAGCAAAAACTCAATAGCGAACTGAATAAGATGATCGATAACATTGTAAAAAGTTGCAAAATCTCATATGAACCTCTCGAAAAGCCATTTCGTGGGAAAGAAATAAAGGAACTTTACATGATTACTAGTAATTATATGAGAAGATGCTCACAGCCTCATACGTACAATTAAAAAAGCATTTATTAATTTAACAAACGTCTTCTTGAATTTACTCTGACAAGCAGTTAACCTTGCTTTTAGAGGAGACGGAGCATAAGCATATAACTTAAAAAGGTTGTCATGTTCAGTTTAAAAGGTTGTACAGCCCTGATCATTCATTGATCCATTTTAGAGTTGAAACTCCTCGCCTATGGTCGACAAAAGCAATTGTAGAGCTCTAAGTATTTCACACTTCGCACACATGTAGTCAATAAGAGGCCCTTTAGTAATTTTGGACACAATTTTATTCATCTGTTATATGTTTGAGTAGTTTGTCCCTTTCTACTCATGCATGTGCACGTGTAACCCATATGATGATCATGGTAACAATATGCTCACAGGGGTCATCACCACCATAAGTAGTAGTTTGGAGTAAAGGAGGGAACGGAGGTTACGCCAGCCATGTCACTAACTCAGTCATACACGGCCGACTCTCCCACCATCACCATTGCACCCATTGATTGGACCTTGATGACATAGTCACCATGACCATATCAAATATCACATACTTTCCCTATATAATATGCAAATCCATAAGACACATATTTTAAACATTAACATGCAGAAAGCAATGGCCAAACATAATCCATAAGATGCAGAATATGAGCCCAAATGAAACAACATATGGATAACAGAATTCTAAATTTTGAATTCATTCACCGTGGTCGATTTGAATGGTTCTTCTTGCAATATGACTTTATAAAAGTCATCACCCATGTGATCAGCAGCTGTTGCAGCGTCCTTCCCCATACCCTTCTCTGCCGCCATGCCGCCGGCCATGGCTGCACCGACAGCGGCAACAGTGAGCCCTGCCACCGCAGCAGGGCCCGTTGCCCCCAATGCCAAAGCCCCGAGTGCCCCAACTGCTCCTACTCCCATTCCGGCCACTGTTGCTGATGAAGCGGATAAAGCAATAGCGGCGAGCTCTGCATTTTCCAATACCCACAAAACTATTGAGGAGTAGTCGATGATACCGAGGTATCGCTCTCTCCAATCGATGGTTGTTGAGGCGTCAGGGTTTGTTACAGGAGCTGACATTATATTGTGTTCGGAGAGGATCCGAACCGTGTCGGCAATTGATGTGTGGGCTGGGATTTCAATGACTGGAGAAGATTGAAGAAGTACATTTAGCCAGGAAACCAAGAGATTTTATTTTTCTCTAATAAACAATGTGTTGCTTGTATAGCATGGGCGTTGACAAAAAAAAAAATCATGTATACTTTTTTATTTTGGTTAATTCATCATTGGATTTGAACTTAGGACATAGTGTTGCAGCGTTAACATCTTAATCAATCAATCCAAAGCCCAAATCATGAAAATCATCAGTTTCATTCAAGGCTATTTCAAAAGAATTACTGTATTGTGATCCACCTTATCACTAGAAAATGATTTCGAAATGAAAATTGAAGCAGCACACGGAATCCTCTCCCTACAAATACGGAATACTCTTCCTAGAATTCCTTTTGATTTCGTATATAATTCCATGCAAATCTTGAAGATATTTTTCTATCCACTAGATGGGTTAACTTCTAATAAAACATACTCACGCATTTGAAGTACTTTGACTTGGATTTTGAGAGTACCAATGAAGCTAGTGTTTATTTGTAGTGAACAAAATACAAATATATAAATTCATTAGTAACAATGTATTCTTTCATCATTTTCCCCTCATCATAAGACACCATATTTCACATCAAATTTATATTAAAAAAAATTAAGTGAAATTCTAAAGTTAACTCTACCATGGTGATAAGACAAGGGAAAGTAGACTTAGGCAGGCTTGCCATATGCAACGCCAAGCTAGAATAGTACTAGTTAGGGGCGATTTGGTACAAGAGGAAGGCTCGAAGAGGGCAAGGGGAAGGCCCTAAGGGCACGAATAGAAGTACTAAGAAGAGATAAAGTGACTTATGGTCTAACGAGGGAATGGCCCCAGATAGAATGGAATGACGGAATAGGATTTGTATAACCCACCCCAAATACTTGATATAAGACTCGGATGATGATAACATCGAAGTGAAGTTCCAAATAGTTGATATTAAACTCAAATGATGATGATGAAGAAGTGAAGTTGTATCGCTCTTGGAATTAGCTTTGGTTTGCGATTATTTTCATTGAAGAATACCAGCAACCAAAGAAAGGAAGATGATATACCCAATACATTTTCGCATTCAGTATCTCAATATCATGTAATTAAATAGTGAACATCTATTCAGTATTAAAAAAAAAAACGCTCAATAAAATATTCAAGAAACAAGCATAAACTTGCCTTTTCCACCAGGGACTAAAGGAAAAGATGAAACAGGAATATTCGCAAAAGCACTTGTCAATGATTCTTGTAATTCATGAGGTAATTTTTTCCTTGACTGGATGGTCTCAAAGTAAGCATCAAAATTGGGAGAGCTTGAAGTCTCTTGAGCCTGATCTTGATCGGCCATATCTACTGTACAAGACAAAAACCCAACAATCTTTTAGTAATGTAACAATGGTTAAAGAAGGCAAAAAAATAAGAAAAATGATAGAAAAATCAATGTCAAACTCTCATGGGCTGGATCTAGATCTGCCATATCTACTGTACAAAACAAAACCAGGTGCAGTATGTATAAGGCTGAGGCCCTAAACAATCAAAATAAGGCGCACCCTTAAATAGTGTCGAAATATATTCAATATCAATGGAGTAAAAATTCATTTTCATCTCTAGTTATAAAATTTAAAGATTAAAAAATAGTGTAGATCGAGCAGATCTATGAACACTTGAAAATCTTGAAAATTGACGGTCTAGATAATTACAAGATGCACTATTTTCGAGACTTTAAATCTATTTTTTCTTATGTCCATTCAACTTAAGGTCGAGATGATCAAATTAAAGGTTTTCTAGCATTGAAACAACCTCTTTCAGTGAACATTTGAGATGCGCCTTAATTTGATGGTTTAGGGCCTCACCCTTATATAAACTTTTTCCGAAGTATTTTAGTAGAATAATAGTGATAAAATGCCAGTAGGCATAAAACTAAGAAAAACTAATAATGCCATTGTCATAGTAATAGACAAAATTATTGTCACTTCTATTAGCAATGTAACATTTCATATGAACTCTCTTGAGCTGGATCTTGATCAGTATCTACTGCATAAAATAAAACTCAAAACAGAAGTGTTTAAATAATAATGGTGTAAGATAGGGGCGATAATCAGGTTGCGTCGAACCAGAGGTCCACCTAACCCAACCCGGCAGGTCGGGTCCAGTTCCACTTGACATGGACAGGTTGGGTCCTGGTCTACCCTGGACCCTGGCTGGTCCGGGTCCAGATCCGGGTTAGGTGCCATTTACACCCCTAAATCCAATGCCATCATCATCATTCAGCATTTGAACTAGTAAGAATACATCACAATAATGGACACAATAATGATAGCTTCTATTATCCATGGAACATTTCATATGAAACTGGACTCATTTGATAGAAGAACACTGCCCAATTTGAATCTCTGAAACATAATTGAAGCTTTTCAGTTTTAAAAAATAGCAATAATTCATTAAAAAACACAAGAAAATATTCTCTATTAAAACAATGGAAAATCAACATTCACTTGGTCTATTGAAGAAGAAATGCATAGAGTTTTTTATTTGATTCCATTTATTTGCTTCATTGAATACTGTTATTAATTAGAAGAGAATCACATATCAATCAATTAAAAGTAACACTGCAACAATAAAAATTCATTCAGCAAAAACTATTTGTGAAATTGAGTTTTCTTAACAAATTTGGGTACATACTAAAATTCATCACTGCGCTTTTCCCAGATGATGCAAATCAAAATCTCAAATCTCTCACTTCAATGATACAGATCAAAACCCCTCTCTCTATTTTCTCTCTCTAAAATACACAGTTTGTCTCTCTCTCTCTAAACTGGAACACCTGCAGGGCCTCTGTACCTTTGAATGGGTCCACGTGTGCATATCAGATCATACGTGTATGCATCTATATCATACTTGTAAACCATGTAATGTGCCACGTGTCATCTGGTCTGTACAGGAGGGAAATAATTTTTTAATAAGATTTATACTCCTGCGGGAGTACACTGTTTATATACTATCTTGGTAAAACGCATGACTTTAGGACCCAATTTTCGTGATGCCAATTGAACTCTTTTACGTACTAAAAAGAGATAATGTCTCAAGATTGAATAGAAACCGTTCGATTATGAAAGGCCGAGATCTTATCTCAAAAACTTAAATTTCAAATTTTTTTTTTTGTAGCTTCAAATCAAAATCCAATAAAATGAGAAAATATGATAAAATTAGGGTAAAGAAAATAAAAAAACCATAGTGAATTGAAAGAAATATTAAAACAAGGGTGCAGTTGGAATACGGATGCATCCGTAGGTGTAGGGGTAAGGTGCACCTTCAAATTTTATCATGGTATATAATTTTGATGTAAAATGATCTTAAGATTACCTCAAAATTTATTTTTATATTTAATTATAAAATTTTAAATTTCAAGTAGATCTATAAACATATGAAAATCTTGAAAATGGATGGTGTAGATAATATGTTGTAAAATACACTATTTTTTAAACTTAAAATGTTTTTATTTTTCATAGTCATACATCTTGATGTCGAGATGATCAATCAAAGGGTTTTTCAACATTAAAACTACCGCATCGGTAGTTCTACATTATAAGGTAGCATCTTCATATAAACTTTTTCCTTAAAACAAAGACAAAAATAAATAAGATGGTAAAAAAAAAGCTAAAAGAAGGTATTCGAAATTTGAATGGATTATTAGCCATGGGTAGAAGACTTTTAATCCTAGTCATTTGAAATGAAAGATTGAAATCTAGGGTCTACAGACAAAAATATTTAAAAAATGAGAACAAATCAGCTTGTGTGATGAACATGCTGGTAAAAAGAAAACAAAATTGAAAATAGAATACCAAGACAATAGAGGGGGGAAGAAATATGAAGAAATAGAATACGATGAAATTTATAAAGGAAAATTTATTAGAATACCCATTAGAGATACGCTATTTAACATTTTATATATTTGCCGTTGTTCCAACTCATCAGCATTTGTATTCTTATGATTATTTTGAAATTAAATCAATTTATATATGTAGAATAGTAAATAGTTAAACTCTCATAATTATTTTGATTTTTTTTTTTTTGGATGACTCAGTGGGCAGAGTGCCCCTACCTTTGGTAGAAATTGAGCTTAGGATGTAGCGAAAACTATATACTCCACATCCAATTGTCTGAGTAGTAGATGTATTTATCATTTAAAATTTACATATTCAAAGCAAAAAGCTCAAAAATAAATCCAAACATGATCAAGAAGGTCAAAACACATATCAAGATTCAAATGATTACAACAAACAAGCTAACATTTTGGATCAAAATTCGAGAGGCTTGGAAAAACCTCAACTATGACAAAAAATTGAGGTTTTTCTTTAAACTTATAATGATGGGCTTTTTTTTATATAAAGCTGAGTCCAAATTTATCAGAACACATTCACATGCAGTGTTCAGAAATTCGCCTCGGCCCTTGGCCGATCCAAGTGACTCGGCTAAATCCAAGACTTTATCGAATCTAGCACAAGTCAGAAAAAGGCAAAAACAAGAGAGTAGATTTTTTAAAAATAATTAAAAATAAGAAATAGCATAAAAGAGGTAGTAGAAAGCATTAGAATTCTAAAAATATATATAAAAAAAAAGCTAAAAAAAATGGCTATTGAAAATTTAGATATTGAATATTTCTGAATTTGTTTTTCTAAAAAAGGAAAAAAACCTATGAATATCATCTTAAAAGCTATCAAAATCATCCAAAAAATGATTGTAAGTAATATTTTTGGTGTTTTCCAAAATTTTTACAGTTTCTTATTTTCTTATATATATTTTTTCCTCCTTAATAAGGGTGGGGCAAGTTGGCTTGGAACTAACTCCTACTCGGCCTCGCACATAGGGTGAGCCTGAGTAACTCGCATAAGTCAAGTCACATAATGTTGTCTGCATGTATGCAAATTTTAAAAAGAAAAAGTTATATAAGTGCGAGAATCTAAACAATCAAATTAGGGTACACCTCAAAAATTTCACTAGAAGAGGTTGTTTTGATGCCCAAATATCTTCAAATTGAACATCTCGACTTCAAGATGCATGCACATGTGAAAAAAATGGATTTCAAGTTTTGAAAGTAGTGCATCTTGTAATGCATTTTTGGACCTTCAATTTTCAAGATTTTCAACTTTTCATAGATCTTCTCGAACTACACATTTTTTTAAGCTTTAAATTTTTTAATTAGTGATGAAAATATATTTTAAGGCTATCACAAAGATTTTTAGTATTGAAACCACATTTCTCGTGTGCTTTACTTTGATTGTTTAGACCGTGGGTTCTATACAAACCATACCCGTTATAAAAAGTAATAAACATCATATTTAATTTGAGCAAAAAAAATACGATTAATCACATTTAAATGTGGTCAAAATAGGGGACTTTGTCCTAACCCATAGTCGAAAGTCCCCCGAGGGACTTTTGTCAAATAATACAAACTGTACTAAATGGGAAATCACAAACAATAGTCAATGCGTCATTTATTCTGACAATTACGACAAATCTCTTGGTAGCTGGACAGAAAGGCCGCACTCTCTCTTAACTACCATGTAAGTGTTCTCATTGTTTTGAAATTTAAAGTCCAAAAGAGAAAACCTGGATTTTCAAATAGAGGACCATATTGCAGAGTGATTCACAAAGAGATTAAGCTATTCAGATAGGGGTGTGGTTTGTATAAGGCCGAGGCCCTAAACATTTAAAGTAAGGCGCACCTTCAAATAGTATCGAAAGATGTTGTTACAATACTGGAAATCTTTGCAATGGCCTGAAAATTTATTTGCATCTCTTATTATTAAATTTAAAGCTTCAAAAAATAGTGTAGATTGAGTAGATCCATAAACACTTAAAAATCTTGAAAATTGATAGTTCGAAAATACATTATAAGATGCACTATTTCCAATACTCGAAATCTATTTTTTCTCATATCCATGCATCTTGAAGTCGAGATGATCAATTTGAGGATTTTTTGGCATCAAAACAAACTCCTCTAGTGGAATTTTTGAAGTGTGCCTTAATTTGATTGTTAATGGCTCCGCCCTCATATAAACTTATTCCTTATACAAAAGAAAAGTCTACAAAGGGTGATTTTGATTTGTTCTGAAATTTTTATTCTTTCTTTAGACATTTACATTTAATGTCTGTTTTGTTGGAGATTGGTTGGGTGAATTGGGGGCAGAAAATGGTACATTTTCAAAAATAGGATCCCGAACTGTTTTTTGTTTTTGGGCACGCAATACCGCTATCTTAAGATGATATTTGCCACCCTTCAATAGAGTATTTGATGTGCATAAAAAGGAAAATTCATCCTTGGGATATAGAAAAATAATGAGATCTTTTACAATGTTCCTAAGCTCTATGCACTTGAGTTTGGAACCCAAACATGAGACACCGGAGTCTTTATAGTTTAGAGAGAGAAAGAGACAAAATCAAGTAGAGAGAGAGACTTTAGCCCACTGGTTTTCTTGCTGGAATTGTAGAGAATGATCTATTGAGAGAGATGCAAAGTTTGTAAAAAAGGGTATCTTAGTATGAAAAAAGGACCCCTTAACATAGAGTCACAAGGTGGCTGCATATTTACTGTAGTGGTGGTTACATGCACCACCAACAACAATAAGTTACATGCAACCCCTTAACTCACTTGATGGCTGCTGCTACAGCCTCCTTTTGGATCTCCTATGAGCCGGGCTCACAAAAGGATAACGAGCAACGAGACCGACCCACACATGTGCGAGGGACGTCTCATGCGCTAATGCGAAGTGCAAAGTGCGTCATCAAGTGCCCTTGCGCTCATGCCTTCGCACACGCATACGCATACGCACATGCGTGTGCACATTACACGTTTCGCATGCCCCGCACATACGTCTTTTCTCTTCTTTTTACTTAGAGTATATTGCATGAGAATGCGTACTCTTAAATACACCTTAACAAACTCTCTCCTCTTCAATGTGGGACTCAAGCCCACATATTCCTCTCTCTACAAAGGCATTTTAGGAAAGTACAATAAAATCAAAGTGTTGTTTTGAAATACACTTAAGCATTTTTCAAACAAAAAATACAAATAATTTTATCAATTATTTCAAAATAACAAAACAAAACATAAGAAACATATTATTAACATACCATGAAAATATCTTTCGATTTGAACTTTCACTTAGAGTGTACACTACAAAATCCATCAAGTACTAGGGTTGTATATAGCTTTGAATCAGGTTGCTTATCAAACAGATCGATAATATAACTCATAAACAATATTCAACTCAGATGTCTTTTTAACTGCCAACACGTTTTGGGCCTTGTGCTTATATCCCGATTTCATAAGTGCTCTAGAAACAAGTCCATCTCATAGGAAGCGGCATCACTTCCACACTTATATAGGTGTGTCTATCAAGAGTGCCCTTGTATATAAAACACTTTGACTTATATAGTCTATAGATAACATTAAGAGCATAGCTCATCTTACTAGCATACAGGTTATCACTAGACTTATCCACCGTATAGATTTTTTATGAATGAGTGTTTTTTATATTTGTCGTCTAGCAACCAAACTAACCATACGTATAGTTTGTTTTTACCACATTGAACCTAGAATTTTTAGGTTACAAAAGACTAAGTTGGGTTCTCACCGTAGATGATTACTCGATGGACTCTAGCCCTATTTGTATTAACATCTTACTAATGTCATCCCTTGCAAGGTCTTTAGTCAAAGGATCGGCCAAATTTTGCTTTGCTCTTACATATTCTATACTAATCACTCATTCCCATTTAAC